TTGATTGTCAGATCTGATTCAAAAAATGATTTCGATGAAACAGTCGATTTTTTATAGTGGAATTTATCAATGCCCAGTGGGTACTTAGGTTTTGAGGACGTAATTATCGTCTGTCTACAGATACCTCGTACTATGATTAGTTAAGGGTAGGAGTTAATTAACTCTCTTTTCTTTGTTTTAAAACTTTCGGCTACTTTTTAAGTTACTTTTCCTCACGGCTTTAATATGATTCCACTATATTTTTTCCAATTTGGTTTGGTCTTTAAGCACTGGATAGGTTTTCAAAAGCTAGTCATGGGTGAGTTCATATGACTGGTTTCAAATGAGCACTTATCAATTTTAATTAAGCACCACGAGTTTTAATGTTTAACTAACTGCTTTGGGTTTTCGCTTTCCTTAAGTTGTAGAGTAGAGTAGGCTGTCATCTAGTCAGCAAATCATCTGTTCCCATAGAATAGACCTCTCACACTTTCTGTTCTCTGCTTTCTGCTGTCGTCAGCTACTGACTGCGGCGCTGTAAGAATTTGGTACTGCCTTGATCTTCTCTCAGCGATCCTGTGGCACTGCTCTCTTCTGTCTCGTCATGTGTGTTGGAGTTGAACACTTCACTGCACTTCTGGATTCAACTTTCGAAGAAGGATGGTAACATCACCCACTCATAGTCACTATGTAATATACTGTTACTGGCAATTATTGATTGAGCGTTTGAGCGTTAAGTGTTGCTTTGTATTCTGCAGTGATGAAGTTTGAAGTATTTATGTTGGATGTGCGGTTTAGGGTTTTGAATCCTCAACTCAGGGATGCGCTTTGTGATGGCTATCCCCTTCTTTCTTAGATTGAATAAAGTGAGTTTTGAAAGTTCAATTGTTTAGAGCTACTGAGTATTACTGGCTCTCTTTTGTCTCTGATCTAATGATCTCCTTATTGTTTACTTTGAGCAAATATACTTTAGCATTTCGTCATTGGCATAGTATGAGTTTACCATTTAATCTATTAAGCGTCTAATTCGCTCCTATTAAGGTAAGTTAGCGAGAGTAATTAACATAGGTGTTTAGCAATATGTTACAACAATTTCATTTGAAAAACACGACCTAAATAGTTGCCAAATCATTTCGTTCATTAACACTCAATCAATTTGAAAGTCAAGTTACTAGTTCTATTTAACTAACAGTTTGCGTTTTTGAAGAGCGTAGCTTGACTTCCACTTAGTTAATGAATTTGAAATGAAATTGAAAAAAAAAAACTGAGTGAAAAAAAATACTAATCAAACCCCCGAACTTTAAACTTGAGTTTGATCTCAAAGCTCGAACCAACCATATCATAGATCCTGGACTCTTAAGTGAGAATTGCAGGATATATCATAGCAAGCATTCATGCCGAAACAGCATTCAGAAAAATTGACAAAAATTGGTTGTGATAAAATAAACCCAATTTGAGAACCATTATTTGATAAAACTGAATCAACAGGTAACTTTTTTATTTCGCTGGAAATCTAAAAATTGAAATCCACTTACATTTTTTCGCGCTTTTTCCACTTTTACAACTGGAGAATGTAATTTGCTTTCTTCAAACAAGTAAACTTGAAATAAAATCACAATCAAAATTCAAATTTGGCGTGATCAAACTTAAAGACTTTTTAATGAGCTATATAAATGTCTTCCCGGCTTTCATCAACACTTTAACATGTCATAGAGTTAGAAGCTCAAATGAACTCAAAGAAAGACATTTAACTTGTTTGCTTTTCCCGATTTTCGAGTTCTTTCAGTGTCTTTAAGGACAGAGGTTTTTTGATGAAAATCTAATCCTATTTAGGAAGCATTTGAGAAACTGGATGCTAGGTTATAAATATTACGCTTCATGTTAGCGCCGCTTCGATAATTGATTTGATAATCGAGCTTGAAAAAAATCATTATAAAAACAAATATCGAAAAAAAATTTGCAGCTGCTGCACAAGGAATGGCAAACGTGAGCTCTAACAAAAACAATCAGTCAGAAAATAATCTTTGAAAATAAAAACAATTTGCACCAGAGGGATTTGAGACCCGACGTCTAGAAGTAGTTTGATGTTTTCACAACCATAGTCTTTTGCTCTCTGCGAACACTACTCACCAATGAATAAGCTAAGACACATTGCCGATCCTAAGACTGAACAGTGCTGAGCAAAAAACCGCAAATTTATTGAGCAATCATTTATGTGAGTTAAGTTGGAAAAAAGTGGACTCATATTAATACATAGCCAATCGAAGATTGGAAAAGAAAAATGAACGCAAGTGAACAAAGAACACGGACTTTGTTGAAAAAATCTCAACTTTCGAATTTCTAACAAGAAAATAGATGCCCTTTAAGCTCGTTGAGTTTATAGAACGATTTATGAATGGCGCTTTTTTGATAACATTAACCCAATATCAGAAAACTGGAATAACAGGTAAGTATTTATTCCGCTGGAAACCTAAAACTTAAATTCCATTTTCGAAACTAGAAATCGTTCACATCTTTCGCGCCATTTCCTTGTTCGTGTTTGGAGAGCGCTTTTTACGTCACTTTCAGCAGATGAATTTCATTTGAACTTAAGAAGTGCATATATACCTAAGTGCATTCATAAATGCATCAAAATGTATGAATGCAAATCTGTACTTATTAAAGACTTTTATGCACATCTTAAGACTTTTTCCTGAAAAAAAAAATCAGAAAGACCTATATAAATGTCTTCATTAAGTTTATTACTCTTAAGCAGGCCTCCCTGGAACTTTATATTTCATTTCACTTTATAAGTCACTACTTCCCAACGTTATACAAACAGAAACGAAGCGGAGCTTCGTACCACTTGCAATAAAAACCGTATAAAATGCAAAGCATGACGCCCAAATAATCCAAAAATAGCAAAAAGGGCTTCGAATAATATTGCCCTTGAAGAAAAACTAGAAAAACGAAAAAAAAAACAGTTTTTCCAGGTTTAAATTTATTCAAGCTTGCAAAAAGGACCTTATGAGGTTGATGAGCAATCACAAAACTGGTGCAAGAGTCTTATCAATATCAAAAATAAAACAAGCTTAAAGAAGCAAATGGGGAAATAAGCTGACTAAACTTAAAACGAAGGTTTTAAGCTAAAAATCGACCTTTTTGGACAACCTTTTGGACAAAAATTTCATGCACTGTCTGCACTGAAACTACGAGTGCTATTTATATAGTGTATAAAAAGTGAAACTCAATTACAAAAATATGAAGTTAAAGCCCAATTAAGCAAGATGTGGATAATTAGTTTTTCTCATTTTTCGCGATTTCGACTGGTCCGCCTACGGTATGCTCAAATAGAAAAATGGTAACATAGCACGCAATAATTATCCCAAAATGGCAGTTTTGAATCACCCATAACATTGCAGAATTAGAACAGGTGCAATGGTCTTCAAATTTAGAGCTCAAAAAAAGGGGTTTTTATCATTCAGCTGGTTAAAGCTTTCTGTCTAAGACTATTATAAATATGGTCGAAATTTATCAGAAAAAAACGTACCTAGGACAAATATTCGTCATTTTCTTCAAAATTAATACCTTTAGGCTTCAACATAATTAACAGGATCTCAGAATAGATCGTCTGGAAATTTGAGATACAAAATGATATGATAGATATACGCATACACAACACCACACAAACAGTGAGTTAACAAAAACACAATCAGATCTAGGAAATTTTGCAGGGAGCATTTTCGAAAACTCGACAATGATTTCGCAATCTATCTCCAAATAGGAAGCTAGCTAGGCAACTTAAATTTTGTTGAAGTTTCTGATCAGAAGCAAGTATGTACAATTATACATGACAGTAAAGTATTCTATCAGAATGCTATTAGAATTTTCACGTTAAGTTTAATTTGAATTCGAGTAAAAAGCTAAGTTTTTAGTCAGATCTTTTTCGAATAAACAAAATATAGGCAAAAATCTCAAGCCAGCAGAAAAAAACTCAACATATAGCATCCTATAGCTCAAGGCTCAGTCAGTCCATAAAAACTCAATTATATGTGAAGGCTGGTCTCCACCTACCAAACCTATTCTCAAATAAGAAAAATTCAACAAGTATAATCCCAAGAACGTTCAATTTGTGCTAAATGCATTAGCAAATGGTCCTTATCAGACACAACCAATCAATTGCACGTGAAAATTACATCAAACAAGTGTTTTATATACACGCTTTACATCACAATATAATGAAACTGTTTGGGCACTTAGCATTATTTTACAGATAGAACAAATTATCAATTTAAAACTAATTATATATATTAACGGCTTTTCATCAAAGCCCGCCCTTGATATGCAGAGTACAACGAAAGGAAGAAAAAAATTATTTGTTCCGACCACTATAAAAAATGGGAAGAAACTATGGCGTAGGGTATGCTTTTTCCTCCAGATTTTAAGTATCTCGAGGAAAGTTTGTAGAAAGACTTGTGTGGTATAAGACCTAATGGTTGTAATTTGAATTCCAAAAAAAAATCATAACAGTTGTCTGTGTCGAGAACTTTCAATTAATTCTGCTGCAATTTACACACTATTTAAATTACTAAATTTCATTTTTTAACCTAACTCAACCGCTCTTGACCGAAAAAAAACATGAAGAAAAAAATTGTGAAATTTTGGATTTTTTTACTTCAATTATTGTGATCGGAACAGTCTGTGCTTCTTGCACAGCAACCGGCTATCATTGTCTTATTATCTAAATCAAAGCATCTTTTTTACAGCAAAATCGCCAGTGAGTTTTAACGTTTTTTTCCTCAAAAAAAGGAGAAAGAAAAATGAGTGGTTCGCTATGTCATTTAGACCGCTAAATTAAACAAAAAAGTAGAAATATAGGAGCACCCATTGCGTACAAAGTGAAGGTCCGAGGTAAAATCGGAATAAAACAAGTTTTGATTTCGCACAGAGTAAGTCATCATTCACACAGCTTAGCAGCAACTGTGCTATATAAAATAGTATGTTGACACATAAAAAAGACTTGGTGTGCTTGAGCTGAATCTTCATTTGGGAAGCACGTCATGTCTTTTAGGAGCCACCTTCGCATACATTGCGGCCATCTAGAACAGAAACAATCTCTTTCAACATAATTCGACATTGTTTAGAGTATGCGATGACAATCACGCAAAAATATCTGATTTAGTGTCTGTTTGTTTAACAGTTGGCCATTAACTTACCTTTTCCTGAATGAAGGATCCAATCGAGATGACCACGAGGACTCCGAGTAAAACATGAGACCACAATTTGAGCTTCCATCGGAAAGATTGCCTAAAATGACAACGAGTCAAATGCAGACAAGGACTACTACAATAATTGACATATCATCAGTCTACTGTTGGGAATCATGGTCAAAAAAATCCACCGTTGGGAAAGTGTGCTTCGCACTTACCACTCATCCAACTCGTCCAGGTGCAAAAAACGATTCCTGTACTCCCTCGGAAGCTCAAACTGAGACTGGATTGGGTATATACCCTCGTAGAAGTCCTGGATCACCGCCCTGACCTAAAAATAATGATCAAACCTTCACTTACAGAAAAAGCAGATAAGATCATTACAGTTTACAACAGATAAAGAATAACAGAGTTTGAGCAGAAAGCCAGACACGTATTTTATCCTTACTAGCAGAGGGTCCATAGCCTTAAACAATTCAAAGTACAAAATAGTAACAAGGATACCCGGTTGCTGCGCAAGAAGCACAATGTTCCGACCAAATTCGTATAAAAAATGGAAAAAGTTTCTTTTTACTTTCCATCAAGTTAGTGTCGTTTTTAGTGGAAGGTGTGATAGGAGAACTATACGATCGCGTATACAATAAGTGAATTCAGCATGATCAACGCATTCGTCTTCCAAACATTAATGATTTTTTTTCTAACTTTTTTTAAGTTTTAATTTTTCTTAGAAACTTTTTTTGCCAAAAAAGCGCAAAATGAAACATCCAACTGGTTTTCTTTATAGTAAATTCAAGTTTTATATCCGAGAAATCTAAAAAAAGACAGTTAACTTCAATATAACGAGCGTTACTCGATCGCGTTACTCTCGCTCAGAATTAGAAAAAAATCTCAAAAATGTCCAACCAGTTTTTTTGACACTGGGACAACTTTTTGAAATTTTTTTTATGTCGTTCGAATCATAACTGAAAGCGCTGCAATGTGATATATTAGTTGACCTATTCCAAAGATCATTTGTCGTACCTGATTTTGCGTGGAAAACAAAAACAGAAAAACAAAGATAACCGGTTACTGTCCAAGTAGCAGAGAATGTTCCAACCATAGTCTTTAGAAAATTGTGGTTTGGAAAATTTCTTTTTCCAAATTAGTGTAGTTTTTTCCGCTTGGTGTGATAAAAGGATCTGATGTAAAAAATATAATTAAGGCATATTAGACAGTCATAGTAATATAGGCAAATTAGACAAGTGTTTGATTTTCAAGTGTTTGATTCCCAAAATTACGCCAGCCAATTATGACGCATTAGCAGTACTAATCAATTTGAAAACACAAGAAACTTACCAACTAACATGTCTCAATTTATAGAGCGGACGAATTTTAACTTGTATACGAAAAAGTTCATTAAAACATCCGACATTTCTCAGGTTCGAACCCTCTTATTTTGTTGCCGGTCTCCTTCCCTACCTCTACGCTACAGATTCATGATACCTTGAAGTTAAAGTAGTACTTGTAATATAATAGTCTGTGTTAAAATCCTTAGCATTGGCTGTACTTAATAGCTGGTTATTGATCAAAATGAACACATTTTTTTTGCAACAAAGTTTGCGTCGCAACAATATTTGCGACTTAGGCTCGAAAAAAGAGAGTTCATGCTGTAACACAAGCTTTGCCTGGGTAAAAGGCTTTAGTAGGCATGCTCAGCCTGACCTTATTAGCTTGAAATTAGACCAATAATTAAAATTTCCAAACTAGTTTTTTTTTCGACACTGGGACACTTTTTTGAAAAAGATTTAATGTCGTGCAGTCACGACTGAAAGGGCTTTTATATGATATTTCACTCGACCCATTCCGATGAATATTTGTGATACCTGATTTTGGGTGGAAAACAAAAACAAAAAGAAGGACAAGGATAGCCGGTTACTGTGCAAGTAGCCCAGAAAGTTCCGACCATAGTCTTATAAAATGCAACAAAGTTTTTTCAAATTGTTTTTTTTGGCGTGGTGGATCAAGTATACCAGGTACAAGAAACTGGGATACAAAAAACTGGGAATTAGGTATACTAGACAGCCATATTTAAGTAAGCAAAAAGAAAAACAAAAACAAAAAAATTCGAAAAAGTAAAATAATGTTACCCAAGTTAAGCTATTATAAGCTTTTAAGCCATAACACTGCTCGCTCGCTTTATTCGCTCGAAAACGAAAAATCAAAAATTTCACACCCGTTTTTCTCGACACCGAAATACAAAGTTCCTCTTCATTTTCAATGGTCGGAACAATAAAAAATTGATTTAATAATATAAACTAAATAGTGAAACTGCCGAAGAAACCATCTTAGGTTATCAATTTAATTTTTACTGCAAATGCTCGTTGAAACATATCTAATTCATTCGCATGACTTGAATTTATTTGGTACGCAATTTATCTAATTCTCACCATGGGCGCATCTTGTTGCTGATGGTCGAAATTGTCATTCAAACAAATGAACTTCTTCCTGTTGTGTCTAACTTCATCCAACATGGTTATCAACGAACTCAGATTTGTCGGCAACATTTTAAACATCACGTGATTATCGACTTCAGGAACTATTTCGTGTTTGTATTTCATATCTGCGCTGAAGTGACTTGTTATTTTGTCCAGCATAATTCTACAATTGAACAAAAGAAGTGCTGTAATTTGCGGCATGTTCTGAGAGTAGTATGTTTCCGGGTTCCTAGGAGGGTCCTCAATAACTCCCGACTGTGCCCTCGAATTGGCGCACTCTCTCAGATTGTTCTCGAACTCGTTCATTGTTTCCAAGGATATGGGAGTCGGGTAGATATACGTCGCCAGGACCCGCAACTCGCGATCCGAGAGCACCCCTGATTTATCTGAGTCAAAGAACTCAAACACATCCAAGAAGTCGCTGCTCTTTTTGACGCTGATTATATATTGGAAGTATGAGAAGGCAAATTGCATGTCGTTTCCCATGCGCACTTTGTTTTTGGCAGTTCTTTCGAATTCAGCTGGGAGCCGAGTCTGTAATTCTGTCATGATTTCTTTGTTTATGAAATGAGGCATGTGTGCTATTACCATTCGCTGACCAGAGCTTCCAAATTCTTTGTCATACAATCTGTTCAAAAATATTCAGGTCAAGGTCACGACGGTATAGCTTACTTTTTTGATTTTGTTAAAATTTAGTTAAATAGTGAACTAACTTGTTAACAAATCTGAGTGATTCTTTGAACGTGTCTTTTGTCAGCTCCCTTTTCTTTTTCGAAACGGACGAATTGCCCTAAAACATCAAAAAAAAATTAGGCACCAAAGGTTCTATAAGCTCTATTTGATATATGTCGCAAAAATTCTCACCGAAGTAATGTTAATTTGACCAGGTGCAACTTCAACTCCTAAGAGCTTACGTCCAACGTACTGTTCCAAGTTTTGCTCAGCATCGTTTACCTTTGCACCCAGATTATCTCCCACTCTAGGCTCTTCAGCCGCTATTGGCTGCTGTTGTAAATTGGGTATATTCATATGCATTTGGTCAACTTCATCATTCCGTGCATGTTGATTTGGAATTTGTTCAACTTGTAGATTATTCAACTTCGGTTGGATATTTTCTGGTTTCTTATCTACATCGACGGCTATTCTCTGAGCTCCCGCTAGTTGTAGCGCCACATTCTTCTCAGAGCGATCCTTTAGATGCTCGCCCGAATGGAGAAAGTTTTCCAGTGTTTCCTGATAAGGAAGAATGATGTCGAATATAACTTGCTCGAACACGGAGTGAGTCATAGTTTTGTTCGCATAGAACTCCAACACCTTGTTCAGCACTGAAAAATGATTATACGATTAAGTAGGGCTGTAATAGTTAATCGCCGAAATATTCACTCACACTAAGAGGACTACTAATCAACAAAAACGTATTTCACATATGCCTCAAAACTCTAAAATCATTGATGCAAAAACTCTATCGGTCATAAATTACAAAATGTCAAGAACGTCGATTGTAATTTAGCAGTGGATTATATCCATATACTGATACAACACTGAACATACAAATTGAACACAAAAATCTCCGACTTAGGTTGGTAAAAAATTAACTTGTAATATAACACGCGTTTCCTCGTGTAATAAGCAATACTTGATACTTTGCAACAATTCATTGTAAAAACTATAAAATTTAGGGTAACTTACCATGAGATTTACCATGAGACCAATAAAAAAAACTCACTCGTAGTAACATTTTTTGGCAAGACATGAGCCTTCTCTATTGCACTGACTACTGGCTTCGTGATATTCTTCACCAAGTGAGTAGAGGGAACCAATGGTATGTTTGCGAGGATGGTTGGTTGTCTGTGTTCAACCTTCAATATGCCCACTTCAGCAGACTTATTCTGAAATTAAAAAACACATTGCGTAGTTGAATAATTGCCCCACTATGATCAAGAAAAAAGTCACTTGCAAAATATAAATATGAAATGCCTGGTGTTATAATTTCTCTTTGCCTTACTTTAAAGTTGCGAAGAACTAACCAAGTATATTGTGGCCAATCTTCCTTTTAAAGCAGGCTTGAAAGTGAAGTTTGCTGTTATAGATGGCCTGACTTCATCTTTTGAATCTCCAAATTTCACCTGCATAGGCCATGCAAAGGGACCATCCATGGGATTGGCGGTGTGTTTTAAGATGACCTCAATTAGATTCTTTGAAGCGAACATTTTAACCGTTCTCACGTATCTGCTCTTCTGGAAAGTTACATCACTCGCATTTATTCTGTTGGCCGCTGAGTAACTGGTCAGATTTAACACGAAACTCTTCTCCGCTAAAATCATGTTGTCAGATTTTGACAAGAATCAGCTATATCTGTTGCACAGAAGGTTTAGATAATAGGTTTTTGAATTTTATATTTGTTCATGATTTTTTGTTCAAATTTTTACTATTAAAATTGTTTTTAGCAAGCTTTTTGAATTCCTCTGAGTATCTAAAATTTTTTATGTTGAAAATTTCCAGGTTAAGCTAACTCTATTTGAGAAAACTGAATACCAATAGGTATTTTTTTATTCCGCTGAACAAAAATTTAAAAATTAAACTCCAGTCAGCAGAAAAAAGGAGCGTAAAATATAGGAGCTGAAATTCGTATCACTTGCGATTCAACATAAACATAGCAGGGCAAGTCATGACAAACATAGCAGGGCAAAATTGGAACATTTTCAATTTTTTTAAAATCAAACGACACCATATGAGTCAACTAAGCCGATATATTATAATCCGAAACCGACGATATATTATAATCCGAATCCGAAACCGTTATAATCTGAATCCGAAACAACAAAATACTGAAAAAAAATAGATGCCTTACAGCTCTGTGAATTTTCAGAACAATAATTAAAACATTTTTGATAAATTTAACCCAATTTGAGAAAACTGGATCAATAGGTAAAATTTTTATTCCGCTGGAAAAATCGATATTTAAATTCCACTTTCGAAATTAGAAGTCGATCATGTGACTTTTACAATTTTGCTGATCGATAGTGGAATTAACCCTCCTTTTAACAAAGAAACTCACATGAACTTAAAAAATCAAACCGCGAAAAGGTAAACTTGAGCCTGAAAAAATGATCGAGACCTATATAAGTCTGAAATACGTTCATCAACTCTTAATAGAATAAATCATAGTAGTTAAAGTTACAAACATTAAATACAGAAAAGAAGCTTTGCTTCGCAAACACTAGCGAGAACACGACAAAGCAGCTCTATGAAGGACAATAAGAAAAACTCGAAATAAGCCTCGTAGTAAAAAAACAAAATTGGCCATGTCTGAGATTCAAACCTGCGACCTAGAGATTACGTTTCTCAAACTCTAACCACAGACGCTGAGTAGGCACATAAATCTGCTGAGTATAGATGGTTTGCAATTTCCAATGCTATGGCGAAACTTTCAATTAAGTGAACACTTTTATTGAACACTTTTATTTGCGAGTTAGGTTAGAAAAAAGAAGATTCGTAAAGAAGGCTGCTCCCTAGTGTAAACATTAACAAATCTCGAATAAAAGAGGTAAGTTGACCATCTGATTCTAGTGAAATTGTTGAACAAATTAATCTCGATTTGATGACGCTCAGGCAAGCGTTAAAAATGCGACAGAACGGAAAAAGCAGCTATGGTAAAATAAAATGCGCCGGATGGTTGGTTGATTGGACTTGAATTTATAATTACCAAGCGGTAACAAAGCAGAAACACCAGTCGAGTCACGTTTCCCATCAGAGCACACACATGCGCACAAAAACTTTTTCGGATGTAACGACGCAATAAGAGGCCACTAAGCCGATATTAATTAAGCCCAAAAATTATTGAGCAAAAAAATCAAATATTAACAAATCGAGCTGGTTAAATTATAACTAATATGAAAAGCTTATTTCGATTCAACTGGATTTGTAAAATGCTAAAAACAACTGCAGTTAAAATTGTTTACAGCTAAAATAAACGATTCTTAGATGTGGCAACTAGGCAGACAAATAATAGTCCGAATTTTTTTTTTGAACCGGAATAATTACCGTGTGAAAAAAAAACTGTTCCTGGTCAGATTCGAACCCAGTACCTTTGACGTCCCAGACGTATTCGTAACCACCAGGCTAAGCGTGCTAGCGGCACTACAAATTTTGAATTCATAATGAACCATGTTACCACCAGTTCAATGAGTCCTGTGGACAAAGTTGTTTACGGGGAAAAAGACTAGTACCCAATGGCAATACCCTTGCTATCGCCAGGGCATTAAACTGGTCTGAAAAGCGACTGGTTTGATTTTTTTTTTCAGACAGTTTTTTTAACCAGAGAACTTCTTTGAGTTTTAAGTAGCAGCTCGAATTACATCTCTAAGGACTTAAAAACGATTTCTCACTCAGTATCTATTGACAATTATTTTGTTTTTGAAATCTACAAACAAAATTTTCATTCAAAGGTCTCGATATACAGAGGAAAAATTACCATGTTTAGGCACTACAAATAGCCGTTTTCAAAAAGCCTTTTCTCCACTATTTATGCGATCCATTGTTGAAAAAATCGATAACGAATTCTTACACAAAGAATGTATGAACTCGACTGAATCTCCAGCTGACGCTGTGACTCTATAATGTGTTAACTTTTTCAACGAAGCCAATCCACAATCTCCGGCATCGTAACCACAAGGTCTCTTATTACATGCAGAGTCACAGTACTTATCGCCAAGCCACGAATCTGTACAGCCTACAGCACAGCTCTCGTCTGAACTGCCCGAGCTGTCATCACTGCCGATTTCTGACTGCCCGTCTCGATTGCCTCCGATGTTGTTTGCGTTCTGGTCTCGACAGTCACCGCCGTCGAACTCACATTGGGCGTTGTTGCAGGCTGCGTCGCAATACCCGTCGTGAATCCACGCATTGGGACACTCGTCCTTACAGGGAGGGACAGGCCATCCACTGTAGATCTACAGAACAAACAGTAAAAACTTAAAAGAAATTTAACAAAAACTCTCTAAAATAAAGTGTTTTTAAACGAAAACTTTATGATACCAATCAATCTTGAATGACATATTTGAGGTTCAAAGAAATACGTATGCAAAAACTGTTCACTCACTTATTATTTATATTAGCCCTTTAAATCTAATGAATGATATTTAAATTGTAGTACTTGGATCCCAAACTCTTTTGGGCAGGGTGACCACTTTTATGAGAGAAAAATAGTGACTATGACTGTGTTTGCCAGGGTGACCAAATTTCAAAAAAAAGTTTTGGGTTCGTCTCCTCTTCTCTGTGAATTGCTGATAAAAAATGAGCTTTATTTAAAGTTTGATTATTAATTACGGTGACGACCAGAAATTTTTCTTACTCTTTTTTCCTCGATATTTAATTAACTGGTTTTATCATGGAAATCAATCAACCAGTGATTCCGTCTTAGCTGCTGATGTTTGCTTACTTTATATCCAGATTGATGCGTGAAGAAATCTTGAGGGAACACTGGCTTCCCTAGCATCACATCGTCATTGAAGTAGAGAAAATGTTTGGCCAGACCTGGAATCTTGTGCAGCTGACTTTCAATAGCTGGAGATGAAAAAGTCGGCAGATACCCTTCGCCAGGCGGAAAGATTTGAGCATGAGTCACAATAGTTAGTCTGGACGATTCCAAGTTGAGCCAAGCAGGCACCTGGCCATTTGTCACAATGAAAATATGTCGCACCCAAGGAGCGAATTTCTCTACCGATCTAAGAGAATATCGCAGCTCCTCGTTGTCGGCAAATCGACTCGGCGAGAGCCATTCAGGGTCTGTTATCACCTAAAATGTCGATTTATTTTGTAAGAGTAACATTTATACGCTATAAGAAAATCGTGTTCTTTCCCACTGAATCTTATGTTTATTTTCACTTTCAACAATTCTAACTCAGACCACACAAGGCCTAAGAAAACAATGGGACGTCTGATGAAAATCACGAAAATCAATTCCATTAAAAAAATTTCGTACGTTTTCTAGATCCCACAGCAGAGAACACGGACCAACTTGCACTTGGCCCAAAACAGCTGGATTTTGATAGTAGTAATTCAGCGAGTCAACTGCAAAGTCACGCTGCAAGAACTGCATCAGTGCGATCTTGTGATCTTTGTTAACTTCGACCTTGACTAGCCCTTTGGATGCGTCTGTGGGAAGTGTGTGGGACAGTTGGTGCTCCTGTTCCATGTTTGGCTGCAAATTGCTGAAAACAATCGCTTCGGACCATGGAAGAGCTTCTTCTATCATAGTTGTTGTCGTCTGAAAATACACACCAATTGCTTGAACAAGAAGACCAGTATCCGCATAGGGACAGAAACGTACCAGGAGTTAAAATTAACCTTTAGACGATTACTAAAACTGAAGTTTAGTTCTTGGTTTAAACCTAACAATCAGACGAGGTATCTGTGAATTTACTTACCAAATATGCCTGTTGCGCGATGATATTGTTTTGTCGGGGGTTCCTTAAAATCCTCTCTCGACTTGAGTCGTGAATTATTTCCGCAATGATGAAGTTGGTTTTGTTGAAATCGGCGAACTCTTCTTCGATTGTAATAAAACGGAGAGCAGTCGAAGCGTCTGGGAAAGCATTGATCACTACTTCCTTGTTCACTTTCAAATGTTTCTCGTTTGTTTCGAATACGATGAATTTGGATGGCACACAATCTTTCAGCAGACACTTCAGGGATGTTTCGTTAGTCTGAGGGTTCCGATGCTTTGAGTATATATGACCTAAAAAAAAAAAATTAATCGAAATAACGGCGTATGCGGTGAAATAGCCCACAACATGTTATTTCGATTAGACCATTAATCTGATAATTGGCAGGGTAGTTTTAGTGAAAAGACAGTTTCCTAAAAATGGAATTCCAATTTGCTTTTCCCGAAAACCACGATCATTTTTTCTACAAAAACCAGGTCGCTGCCGCTTACTGCAGAGAGGATTCCCGCAACCGAGTTTTTCGATTAAACACTTGAACTAAAAATTGGTAGGGAAATTTTCGAGTAAAAACAAACTTTTACAAAAATGACTTTTAAGAGGGCCAAAACTTTTTAAGGAGTGGCCGCTTTTCTGATGAGGTTTCTCACAACCCGTTATTTCGATTGTAGCCCTTGATATCAGATTTGGCTTAGTAGTTTTCGAAAAAAAAGTCGAAAAAATTCCCAAAAAACGATCATAAATTAAAAAAGGACAACTTTTTTGAAAAAAAAATAGGGCGTATTCTCTTACACCAGGAAGATTACCACAACCTCTTCACTCAATTAAGCCTTCAATCGCAGATTTAAGATTATGGTTTCTTAGAAATGTCAAAAAGTTTAAAAAGCGGTCAAAAAAGCAAAAATTTGATTTTTCCGAGGGCCATTACTTTTTGTTTAAAATTGGACTTTTGCAGGGTCAAAAGTTTCAAAATGGCCAAAAACTTCCGAGGGCCACAACTTTTTGTGTTCAAAAAATTGGGTAGCCGCTCATGCAGAGGGCTTTTCGCAATTCGTTCTTCCAATTGAACCAAAAATTTCAGATTGTGCTAGGTGTTTTCGAGATAATGAACAAAATACAAAAACATGGGTCAAACATTCACCGCAGATTTTCTCGAAGGCTGTAGAAGGCTATCTAAAGTAAAAAAAAACTAGGGAAATAGAGGTACACAGGAAAGTGAGCGACCTTTTATAATCAATCTTTCGTCCGATCCCGAAGCCATCGAAAATCTTACCGCGAAATACGTAGATAAAAGCTTCGCAGCAGAGATTTAACCGAAAAAAAGTTTTTTGAAAACACTCATTTTCCAAAGATGGAAATCTTCACTTTCAATTAAATTTTCAATATATCAATGTCACAGAATCCATCCAGATTAACAAGACCAACAAAATTTTTCCGTTCTAAGTTTTTATTTTGGTTGTAATTGTTGTAGCCCTCCAACAGAACCAGTTTAGAATGTGTCCGTGCAACCGAATCAAGGTGATGTTCAAAATTAGGCCCTTTCCAAAATTTACAGAAATTTGTTTACATACAGAAATCAGAGCTTCAGATAGCAAGTTCAAGCCGTATCTGACCAGTTTTTAGGAACAGGTGCATCGCAGTAGAAAAATGTTAAGACCACCAGATAATTTGCAACCATTAATACCGTAATTACCAAGTATTTTTTGGCTAACATATTTTTTTTCGAAACTAAATCTGGAACTTTTTCAAAGGCAACTGTAACGATTTCCGTAAAGCTAATCGGGTACAAAGAAACATTTAGTTACCTTCTCCTGATATATTCATTTCGGCTATTAACCCTTTTTTGATTAGATCTTGTTTGGCTTCACGTAATTGAAGCATTAATTCTGTATCAGATCCATTGACCCAAGTGTAGACAACGTCAATAGGCAGTATAGGTGATAACCTAAATCCATTATCATGTAACGAGATTGCTATATCTAATACGTCAGAAGAACGAGACAAACAAAAATTACTCTTCAAACTGGCTCCTTTTTCCAATGTTGTCACTGTACACAGAGAAGAACGAATCGTAGTTATACTGCGAGTAGGTATAAAGATTCTAAAATAACAAATTAGACTCGCTATTTTCAAAAAATACAATTATTTGCATAAATTGTAATTGGCTTTGTAAGATCAAAAAATTTATCAAGCAAATCAAATCCTACCTCCAAAAGATGGATGAAAATTACAGTTACAATAATTATTAGGGCGTTCCACAGAAACGCAACTAGCTTTAATCTCATAGCTATCCTGAAAACAATTAGTCAACAATTTTGAGAGCTACGCTATACTGCAGTAAAATCGAAACGCAAATTGAGGTATGACAAATGGTACACGGACGAATTGCGATTTAAACTTCCTTACGGTGAAGTTCAGTGAATACTTTGTAATGTCATATAAGAATTTTAAAATGTTAATTCAAACGTTTTCGCACATTTTGTGAATCATCAGAATTAATTTTTTTTATATTTACAAAACGATCAAAGATGTGAAAAAATGAGAAACATGTCTAAAAATGCTCTGGAACTTTTTGACCAATCAAAACTAAACAACTGTAATTACATAATAAAAAACGCAAAATTTTTTGATAGAATTGTGGGCGCAAACATCGAAAACAACTCACTTTTAGCCTAATTGTTGTGATAAACTTATTAAATAGATTTCCTTTCCCCGTATACAAACTGTGTATTTTCAGATATATGCCCTAGAGCTAAATCTAAAACCAAATTATTGAACGGAAAAATAGCAAAGTACTGCTGCTCTAGGTGTTGCAGGTGAAGATTTATGGTGCACTTTGTTGGCGCAAGCTCTTTTCGTGCGGCCATCGACGCATCCCCAAGAAATTTCCAACGAAAAATATTCCCCATCCAGACATCAGTAGGAGGATTTAGCATCAACCCTGCCACAAAAAAAAAGAACTACCAGTCGATCCAGAAGAACGAAGACAAACTTATTCTGTGGCACGACTTGATCAACAATACTGTGGCCCCCCACCACAGCAACAGTTGGAAACCTTGTTCAGTACAACTACTGCTTTCGACTCTCCACGGACTGCGTCACCGGATTGTGCCAGTCGGTCATATTTGGAAGTTTGATCTTGAGCAACACGAGAAACGTAATTTTGGGGTGGAATGAAATTTTTCAAAATTCGAATTGGACATGTCATGCTCAAGTTTCTCGCGCCAACTGAAAATGAGAAAATAATAAAATCAGAGGAACCGATTGACAATCGCGGAAAAGTGGTCGGAAAAAGCAGCGGGAAACTGCTATTCGCATTTTCCAGACATAAAAATATACCAGAATAGAGATGTCTTGTTCGTAACAGAAGGCTGAGTGATCACGAACAACAAAGAAGCGAATTAGAAGTGGACCTTAATGAACCTTCAATGGAAAGGTAGACAACCGAGGTCTCCTAATGGTCCAGCGACAAAAACTTATGTCTCAAGTTAAAACTCAATTCTCAAGCTGGGACTTGTTAATTTAAAACTCTTCGAGTCAAACCGTAATTCCTTTGTCATTCTGGAGTTACTTATTGATTTAGTTACCCAAATTCTACAGTGTGCCGGTATGTGAAAACCCAATTTAAATTTCTCGAGTGTATTTTATGTTGTTATGTTGAGATAAGGCGAGTTTTAGGTTGATCCATCTGAAATGGATCAAAGTTCCTGTAACATTCGCCCGGAAGATACATATCGACGGAAAACAAAACTAAGTCTTAAGACGACTGGCTAGCGTCTAAACAGAGCTTTGCATGCTTTTCACCGTCTCTACCAAGCCAGTACTTTTCGGTGGTCTTTTCTAACATCGGGTCGACAAAAACGTTACTGCCTTCGGCTTCGGTCAAAACACTCAAATTAACTAGATTACATGCAGAAATAGTGAGCTCATGGCTGGGTCTCAGTATCCCCAGACCACGAGGTCACTCCTAAAAACAGGGCTACTACTTATTATATTACTATTGTTTTTGTTCAGTAGATAAAAATCATCATCTCCATCGAAGATGGATCAACCCTTTCCCCCAACTCCTAGCTTGTCATCCTTATCAAAATGAATCTAGATATTAATTAAATTCAAGTCAGGACATGACAGGAAGCTAAAAATTTATGCAACAGGATAAAAGTTTCAGTTCCTTTACCCTTCCGGATTGATGAATCCGCTGGATCAAGCTCGCTAATCCTGATTTTCTCTTAATCCGGAAGGCCGTCTCTCACCCTTCACCGTTGTTCGCAACGGCCTTGCAACTATTGTAGCAGCACAATAGTTGCAACTCGGAGTGTTCTTCTGTTAATCTGTAACTCGTTGTCGTTTTCCGATCTCAATTTCGTTGTTGTTGTTAGCGCAGCTAATGTTGTTCTGTTTTTTTTTCTCGTTTTAGCCAAAATGGCCTTTTCTGACGTTTCTCAGAAATATGACGTCATATTTCGAATTTTTGAGATTTTAAAATACCAGAATATTCCAGCCCTCACCGTTTGGCCAATCGTTCCAATAACGTTCTTAATTCTTAATAATCACCAATCCGGAAGGCTCGCTGCTAAAAATTCGAATTCTGCAGAGATTGCATTTTTCACATTCTGGTCGAATGTCACATCCAATATCTAATCAAAAGTAACGATACGGATTGTTCCGACCCTGTTTTTAACGGCGTTCGCGTGTTTTGGGTATTTTGAGACCTAATTATGGGGGCGTTTTTATTTTCTAAAGTGGGGGGTATTCTGGTAGTGGCCTCTAAGCGGTAACAAAGGTTTTAGTCTCATGTCGCAAGTGAACCGTATTGTCTCCGACCGTTTGAGGTAGAAAAACACAAGAGATAGTGTCCCTGACTCTTAGACCAATGGTTATAGGGCCTATTTTTCTTTAGCCTCATATGTGACTTAAGTAGACGACTGTTACAGATCGCAGCAATAGTATACGCAAAACGAACCAACACCACAGACATACTCAAACGATTGAGAACATTGGACATCCTCATTATCCCAGTAAAAAAATAATTATCCACAAGAACGAGAAAGAACAACAGAATTTTGCGAGATTCGAGGCAATTTTACCCGTCTTTGATCCTTGAAGAAAGACTAATCAGAACCGTCTACAAAAGAAGAAATAATGTAACATTCGCCCGGATGTACATATCGACGGAAAATAAAGCAAGATTTTAAAGCGACTGGCTAGCGTCTAAACACAGCGCTACATGCTTTTCACCGTCTCTGCCAAAGCCAGTTCTTTTGGTGGTCTTTCTAACATCGGGTCGACAAAAACGTTTCTGCTTCTGGCTTCTTTCAAAACACTCAAATTAACCTAATTAAGTAAAAAAAAATAGTGAGCTCATGGCTGGGTCACATTATCCCCAGACCAAGAGGTCCCTCCTAAAAACAGCGCTACTACCATTTATTATATTACTATTGTTTTTGTTCAGTAGATAAAAATCATCATCTCCATCGAAGATGGATCAACCCTTTCCCTCAACTCCTCATTAGCTTCTCATTATCTGAAAATGAATCCGGATGTTAATTAAATTCAATTTAGGACTTGACCAGGAAGCTAAAAATTTATATAAAACAGTTTGAGTTTTGGGCCCAAGACCCCTCCGGATTCTAGAATCCGGGGAAATAACGTCCTTATTTCTTTTGGAAAGGCTGGACACGTCGACCCGACACCCTTCCTGGTTCGTGCAAATTGCTCTGTAACGATTGTAGCGGCACAATCATTACAACTCGGAGCGGTTTCTGACAATTTCCAATTCTATCTGTCGTTATTTCTTCGTAGTTGTTTCCACTGCAACTCTTGTTGTTCTGATTTTCTTCTGGTTTTTCTCCAAAATGGCCGTTTCAGCATTTCTCAGAAATGTGACGTCACAATTCGAAATTTCAAAAATTTAAAATGCCAGAATATTCTGACATTCACGGTTTGTCTAATCGTTCAAGTAACGATGCTATTCCATTAAAACCATTAATTTTCCAGGTCAGATGTTCTTTTCTGGTTGATAAAAATTCGAATACTAAAAAGCATTTTCGTACATTCTGGTCGAATTTCACATACTCCCCGGACAGCCCGGTCAATTTCCTCATTGAGTCTCGTAGTCTTCATCAAAATGGTACAGTGTCATCGAACAGAATTTACAAAATGCACGAAATCACTTTTATCCACCTCATATCAACTCACTGCAGAATATAAATGGCATCATACCACACTATTATAGCCTTCCAAATTCTTTCACTAATCTGCACTTTTGAGGATATACTTAAGATAAAACATCTTTTTAGACTTCCAATGTTTAAAAGTGTAGGAACGCAGGACAGTACTGCCAACACACAAACTAAAATTATCCTCCTATGCTTCTTCCCTTCGGAAATTTAGTTGTTATTGGTCCCGAATATTAAAACAAAGGAACTCGGTGATTAGAAGGAACAATGAAAAAATCTCCTTCTTCAAGAGATTACCCAAGCCTTTCATGTCACCACAAAGTGATCAATTAACCTAGTTGATTAAAAACATTCATGCAGGCTGGAATATTTTATTATATTCTCCACTCAAGCCTCTCTAAAAAAAATTGTAATTGTCTCTAAAGCCACTAACTAAAATCAAAATGCAAACTTGCCAATGCGGCAAGTTCTTTAATCTTCAAAATTCAACTAAATGTTTTCTTTTCAGTTTCAACTGCACGAAAAAAAAACTTAGTTGCTTTGTTTCTCTTTTGAGTTTTTTGTCACGTACAAAACAATTCTGAGTTTTAACATTTTTTTTTTGTCGCTTTTTTGATTCTTCCTTTATTTGTTGTTTAGAAGTTCTAAAACTTCTAAATTCTTCTTATTTTCTTTCTTTTTGCATCTTGTTTTTCGGCCATTTGTCAATGTTCCATCTCCTCCTCCTGCGACATTGACTCCGCACTTTCAGTCTCTGTGCCTTGCAACACGTCAGTACTTAGTCTGACGCTGTTGGAAGCAATTCTCCTACACTTCTGCTCTTCTTTTTTCTGTTTTCAACAAGGTAGAGGGTCAACGTTAGATTCTCTGTTTCGGCAGAAGCTGTTGTGGAGGCGCAACGTCCCGTTTCTCTCCAAGTCTTCCTTCAACATCTCTTTTTTTTCCCTTCCGTCACATTCACTTGTTCTAGAAGTTCTCTTCACGGCGGTGGTCACTGCATTCCGATGAGTTACAAAAGCTTGCTTAAAAGCTCCTACTCCAATGTCCAGCTGATACGCACTGTACACTCTGCTGTGCTTCGACACACGCTTTTTGGCATACTCGTACAACCATGCAGTCATGTTGGCTCTAAACCATGGCATCAGTCGTCTTCTGGTCCATATCTTTTTCACTTTCATCGGAATGTTCAAGATTTTGCACATTGTCTCGAAAAGATCTAAATTTTTAGACAATCCATTTACTGTAACTGTTCTCTCGTCGGCGCCTCCTGTCTATTGATCTCATTTACTTAAGCTTCCAGCCGTCGTATCGCCATCATAACTCCCACTATCACTATCGTTATGGGCTATGATGAGTCTGGTAAACCCATGGAGAGCAGCTCTCCACAGTCCCAGATCAGCACCAGATTACTACGACCGGGGTACCACCATGTTTGTAGCAAGCAATGGCAGGGTAACTCATCATGTGTTGACATGATGCTCCTCCAATTACGTTTTCCTGAAGCTTCCCGTAGTGGTTCCACTTCCATCATCACTCGGTGGACTTCATCATTCTCATCTACTGCATTGTAATCCGTGACTGTTGATCCTTTCTGATTCTGTCTTTCAAAATCACTGAAGTGCCCACTGGCGTATCCCATGAACTCCTTTCCCAGTATCGATTCTAATTCCTCTTTAGTTTTCTCCGGAACCGCTGAGAACATTTTACATAGCAACTCGTAAGATTTTTTGAACATCCTCGTTAGTAAAACTTTTCTGAGATTCTCGCTAGTCTTACGCATTTTGGCACTGAAAAGCCTTAATCCACTATCGGTCTCGTACTTTTCACATCCACCGCTACAAAATGCACTGGGTATCTGCTCTTGCACAGTAGAGCTAGTGCCAATCCTACCAAATATTGCGCTCCCGACGGTCAGCGATAAGTTTAACTGTGGCGGATGTTCATTTCCGCCTCGATCGCTTCCCTCCACTTTCCTATGTGCTTTTGCTCAGTCTGCAAAACTCCTGGGAACACTTCTACACTGATGGCCGCGACCATCTCATGCTTTTGTTCTAGATTCAATAGTGACTCTAAAGAATGAAACATGCTGTAGAATCCTAGTGCAGTCACTAGATTCACCTCCGTTCCTCCATGGCAATCTGCAATCAGTTCCGTTTCGGTTTTCGCCTTCATCACAATGTTCCCAAACAATACCATCAATTGCTTGTGTTGCTTCTCCAGGGTCTTTACGCAATCCAGACCTCCACAGATGTGACCTTCCAAGGCACAGACTTCTGCCAGACAGCTACCAGGTTTGACCCAGTCCTCTGGTTCCCAGCCAGGCAACTCTACCTTGTCTTCTCCGTTGCCCTTAGAGGCTGTTGTCATCAAATTATAGATGATGTTCACGTCACGCAAGTTACAGTCCGAATTCAGTTCCCTCTACATCTTGTGTCGCTCGTTATATCAAATCGGTGTTGGGACTCGGACATCATGATGGTTTCATTAGTTCCCACACCACCATCAAACTCGTTCTCAGCAGCTCGTCTGAGAATCCCAATCCAAACTCCATTCTGTTGGCACTGAAGGTGCAGTCACCTCTTCCTCCACGACTAGTCTCTCCAAGTTTGTCAAGGACTTACCGCATTAGTGGTCGGTTGAGACCTAGTTTCAAAATAGACTGGGTTCCATAGCTCTGAGCTACTGTCCAAACCTCTTCCATTCGGCATCCCGTCCTATTTTCATGGTCTCTATGATGCACCTCCCACTCTTCTTCGGGCAACGTTCCCAAGAAAGGTACTCTGGCAGCGCCTTCTACTCCTCTTCTCGGTGATTCCATCAAGAGTTTCTGTTCAAAATCTTTAGAACTGCTCGGAGAGCCGCTCTCCGGCAACTTCCGGTTCGTTTCCATAAAGGCCGACAGGGTTCCAGCGTGGGAGTACCCTCGCTGCTGGCTCAGTCATTGCTTCCAACGCGTCCATGCCGTGAGTCAGTCCAATCATGCACCAAGCGAACCTCATTTGTAACTCTGTTCTCACATAGGGTATTTCTATCAGTGCGTGTATCTTCGGAATGGTTCTCATTTCTTCTTCGAAGTATTGTTACACTACCGCTCTCCACGGAAGGCTCACCAACTGCTCGATCGTCTCCACGTGCATTTCAGACGATACCAGAGTCCCGTATGCCTTCTGCTTCAAGGTCGTGCCTTTCATCATCATCTCCAAATAACCTTCCATGGCACTTTTATCTTCCAGAGCCATCAAGTGTCCTCTGGCCGAATTTCTGTACTCTAATATCTCCATGTATCCACCGACGGGTTCATCAATCAATACAGTATACAGTTTCCGACCTGTCAGTCTGTTATATTCTACTGGGACTAGCTGTCTTAAGACGCTTCCCTTTCCGTGATTCATGGGAGACGGTTTAAAGTCTTTGAGAGTACTCTCTCCACATTGGCTGAGTATCTCCATTTCTAACGTCGCTCCAGTCAGAGTGCGGTCACTCTTCTTGGTTTTGTAACCGGTTGATTTTATTCCTGCCATGAGAATGGGTGGCACCATCGCTTCATCAAAGAATATCCTGTCTGTGCCAGGTAATCGATCTTCACCCTGTCCCAAGTCCATAGCTTCCTCGACGCGTTTTCTTTTCAGTGAGTTGACAGCTTTCACCGAGATTTCGGAATCCACCTTTGTCTTTCCCGCCTTCCTCAATGTCAACTTGCTGCCCAGTTTCATCTTCGTTTCATTAATCTTGTCAATCACCAATTTTAATCGCATCGTTCCCTTCCGGGTTCTTGACAGATATACCACTTCTCTCCTTTGTCTTCTTGCGGCGTCATCTTGTGGCCGAGTCGATCAACAATTCGCTCAACCTCCCCTCACAATCGTCGAGTTTGTCAAGGACTTCCCGCATTAGTGGTCGGTTGAGACCTAGTTTCAAAATAGACTGGGTTCCATAGCTCTGAACTACTGCCCAAACCTATTCCATTCGGCATCCCGTCCTATTTTCATGGTCTCTATGATGCACCTCCCACTCTTCTTCGGGCAACGTTCCCAAGAAAGGTACTCTGGCAGCGCCTTCTACTCCTCTTCTCGGTGATTCCATCAAGGGTTTCTGTTCAAAATCTTTAAAACTGCTCGGAGAGCCGCTCTCCGGCAACTTCCGGTTCGTTTCCATAAAGGCCGACAGGGTTCCAGCGTGGGAGTACCCTCGCTGCTGGCTCAGTCATTGCTTCCAACGCGTCCATGCCGTTTTCAAAATCACTGAGGAAATTTTCAAAGTCTAGGCTGGACACTCCTCCTGTCGAAGCCTTATCGTCTTCTTTCCCAGCTTGATCGGGATCCTGTTTCACAGGTTCTTCCGATCGACGGCTTCCTCCCTGCCCATCGTCTCGTTCTAGGTTCTTTCCTGAATTTGAGGGCCCTTGCTCTTCACTCCTGTCCCATCAGGAAATTTCGGTACAATTAGCCTGCCAGCTGACTGATGTTCTTCCTCTCCAAGAACTACTTTGAACTCTTCATGTCCAAAGAGTGCTAGCATGATTCTAGTCTGTAGGGTTTCTCCCACCGTTAACCCTGGTTTCACACTCGTCAAGACCAGGGAGGTTTCTGGTAATTCAGCTTTGCCTCTCATTACCATAGGCGCTAGACCCAGTTTCGCCCATTCCTCGTCAAACCTCCCAGGCTTCGGAGTCGCTGCATAGCTCATTCGTCTTCTCGTTGCTTCATCCGTGTAAGCAAACTGCGTATACTGCAGCACTGCGGCATTTCTGCCCACAAAACACGGGTCCGTCGTTTCTGAGAATTTCGCCCTCCTCCTTTCATTTGTCTCAAAAGCTCTCAACCTAGGAGTTTTCACTGCGGAGACTGCTCCGAGCAACATCCTTCTTATCAGAGGGAATTCAGGGATTTCCTCTGGCAGTTTCTTATAATCACCCCAACCTTTCGTCTCTTCTCTCACCTTATGGCATGCTGCAGTCAGTCGAGGAATTGTTTGTCGTAGGGTCTTAGATTCAAGTTTTGTCGTAGGGTCTTAGATTCAAGAGTTTAGGGAAAACTTCAACGTGTCCTCTGTCCACTTGTCCCATAGAATCACGGAAGTGATCGTCAAAGTTAATTACCGTCTTCTCAGTCTCCGATATCTTTGCAAACAATAGGTCTTCACTCATGAGCTCTCGCAGTACACGCTGCTCACACCAATTCAGCGCGCTTCCGTCCACTGCTGATATGAGGTTCAGGTGCAGCACCGACCTCCTGTATGCTTCCACCTTAACATCAGAAAACGCAAACGTGACTGCAGTACCGTATATGACCGTCACGAACTCCGTGGCTGCTCTGATCAATGCTAAGGGATCGTTCGTCATAGCTAAGGTCAGATCAGTTAGTAGGGGCATGCCCCCAGCAAGACGTCGCACGTCTTCCTCCCTCTCAATCGTTTCATCCTCTCCTGTTTCAAAGCGATTCTGATGCAGGAGGTACTGGAAAAGAGTATGCCGCAAATCTCTTATCTTGTTCCACGATTCCGTAGATCGTTTCACGTCGAACTTCCTCACGTTCTCTCTCATCTACTCCGGATAGTGGGTCAAATTCATCAACCCTCCCAAGTTTCCAGGCGTTATCGCAATCAACGTTAGAAGTCCATCTAATAGCAAATTTTCTACTCCTTCAGTGAGCAGTATCGCTGGTCTTTTCACAAAATTCTCTGCTCCAAACGTCACGAATAGGGCTAGTAATTCAACGATTGATACTTCTACGACTACTTGGAGGAATTTTTTTATCAGATATTGAGAAAGTGAAGGGTAATTTATAAAAAGGACGCGGTCGATCCGGCTCATAGTCAGTACTGTCAAAGCCTTCTTCTCTCTTCATATTCTGTGACCAGAAAGTTTCCAGGGTCACTTGGCATACTCTGTTTACGAACTCGGCTGATTTCTCTTCAGCATTTCTTACCTCTTTCACTAAGTAGGCATGGATCTTCCTGATCATCACTGCGCCTCGCTCGAAAGCATCCGCGCCCAAAGCTGCTATCCGAGGGGTCAAGTGCAGCCACTGGTTAGCCTCTGGTTTCGTTCTCAAAAACATCGCTTCCAAGTGAGCTCTGGTCTCCTTGGAGTTCTTCCTTCTCTCTCCTTCCTCTTTTATCTCATTCCTCGGAACCATAAACCGTTTGACATCACCACGATCACTTCATAGTCATCGTCAATTCGTGGCTTCAATTTGAGTTGTCGACTGAAATTGGACAGTTCCAATCCCAGCACCTCGTCAAACACTAACATGTGTAGTGAATGATTCTTAAATCCTCGCATCTCATTCGAGATATCAGACCACACCGCAGGTAGTTCAACCATGAGTGGCCTCAGATTCTCCATCTCTATTCCGCGATTTGGGGCAGATATGATTACATCATATTTCTCTTCCGAGAGCAAAGCCACCATCGCATACACAAACTTCAGTCCATCCGGGAAATGTGCATATCCAGGAGACAGTGCAAACACGTCTCTCGGTGTTATTTTGGTGAAGGCACCTTCTTTCAGGGTGTCTACTACTTCACCCATCGATTCGAGGATATCCTTTATAGCTGGCCATACAGCGGCTTCGGCTGTCGTAGGCTCTCTGAGTCTGCTCAGGAAACCCCTACTATGTAGATGGTCAATGATGCCAGCGAATACAATTGTGATTGGGTTCATTTCTGTCTGCCGTTGAACCCCGATTGCCATCGACACAGATTGCATTAGGTCTAGGTCGACCGCTGCCAACATTATAACATCAGGCCAAAACAGAGACTTGGAGATATACACGAAGTCTGAACTCGCGACTACCATAATCTTTGCCTTCCTCATTTCTGCCTTGTGATACGCAGCAAAGATGGTCTCATCTTTCTTGATCGCCTTCAATCCACCGTATCTCTAAACATCACCCTCCTGGTTTACTTGGTACGCTCTTTCCTTTACGTGACCTGGGGGTGTTTTTATCTGCCTGAACATTTTCACGTGTTGTCCTATTGGTGCCCTAGTCGGCAAGAATCTTCCGGGTCTTTCTTCTCAATTTCCTTCATCGTGATTCAACTTCACATCCTGCAATGGTCTCGCATTCACTGGACCCATTGTATTGTTTGAGGGCAGTCCCTCTAAATCGGCAAATCTCATGGCTGTTATAGAGCTGAACTTTATGCCAGCGGCTATCAACCAGTCTACGCCTGTTATTGAGTACAGTCCGTTGACAGACAATCTCGCTCCATTCAACATCCTCATGGCATCTGCTGCAAAGCTCACCGTCTGAAGGTTCAATTTCATCGGATCCTCTTTGTAGATATAATAGGGAGAAGGTATGCGCCTCGACCACATCAAGGAGCTCTTGTCTGGGCGTCGCTCCTCTCGACTGGTGCTCGTCGTCTCTGATCTTCACTCCGATCTAGAGGTGCTGGTTGTCTCCGCGATCGGATTGACCGGTCCTAATCTTCGCCTAGGACGGATGCTTCTTCTCATTGGTGCTTCCTCCAATCGATCTTATACATCTGTCTTTTGCCCCGGCTCGCTGGAGCTTTGCTGCCTGTAGGTCGTCACGGCTGGGACCGTTCCCAAACGTGTTTCTAAGTTAGTGGGCACAAAGGTTGAAACTGCCGGTTCATTCGCGGTTTCTTCCTTTTTCAGCACTCCCGAGTCAAAGAGCTCGGCTTCCATTTCATCCAATCGCTCCTGGAAGACTCGGTTCAACCAGGCGTGTCCTTCAATGCTATCAAAGTGTATCCCATCAGTGGTTAGTCTGGCCTGATCCATAGCTCTCAGCTCATGTTCAATGTCCATAAGGATCAACCGTCCAGCATTCTGACTCGCAAGATTTC